GGTCGAGATTCCGGCAGGACTCCTTTGTCAACGCTACCAAGACCTCGTTCGGGAGTTCAACGACCTAACGCTGGTTGACGGATCGGCAGCAGACCTGCCCGATCTCCCAGTGCTTCACCGCATTCACACGAACGGCCCCCCGGTCTTCGAGCGCCCTCGGAGACTCATCGGCCCTCGTCTCGACGCCGCCAAGGACGAGTTCAGCCGTCTCATGGCCCAGGGCATCATCCGGCCCTCCTCCAGCCAGTGGGCAAGCCCGATCCACCTGGTTCCGAAGCCCGACGGTTCCTGGCGCGTCACCGGCGATTACAGGCGACTGAACAGCTGCACGACGCCCGACCGCTACCCACTCCCGATCGTCGAGGACCTTCTCCAGGAGCTGCAGGGATCGGTATTCTCGGTAATTGACTTAAAAAAAGCCTTTTACCAGATCCCCATCGCAAAAGAAGACATCCCGAAGACCGCAGTGACGACTCCCTTTGGACTCTTCGAGTTCACTCGATCGTCTCTTGGTCAACGCAACGCCGCCCAGTCTCTCCAGAGGACGATGGACCATCTTCTCCGGGACCTGCCCTTTGCTAGGGCCTACCTGGACGATATCATCGTCGCCTCCGAGGACAACGAATCGCACCTGGTGCACCTCCGTCGCCTCTTCGAGTCCCTGCGCTCCGCTGGGCTCCGCATCAACCCGGCCAAGTGTGTCTTGGGGCAGACCGAGGTCACCTATCTCGGCTGGACGGTATCCAACCATGGCTTCAAACCTCCGCCACTCAAGGTCGAGGCCATCAAAGAGTTTCCGCGCCCGCAGACCTCCACCGAGCTGCGTCGGTACATGGGACTCTTCAACTATTACCGCCGCTGTGTCCCTAGGGCAGCCAACATCTTAGCTCCACTCAACGACCTTCTCCAGGGCCTGCCGCCCAGGAAAAAGAAGGTTGAGTTGACCTGGACGCTGGATGCAGAAGCTGCGTTTGCTCGCAGTAAGCAAGCCATCGCTGATGCCACGACAACGACGTTCCTGCGACCCGACGCTCCGCTGGCCCTTCGCACGGACGCTTCCGACACGGCAATCGGAGCAGTCCTCGAGCAGCAGGACTCCAAGGGCACATGGGCTCCCCTTGCTTTCTTTTCTAGAAAGCTCGACAACACCGAGAAACGCTACAGCACCTACGATCGAGAGCTCCTAGCCATCTACGCAGCCTTGAAAAACCTGCAGCGAATCCTCGAAGGCAGGTCCTTCACGATCTTCACCGACCATAAGCCCTTGGTCTTCGCAGCGGCGCAGCGCTCGGACAAGGCCTCGCCCAGGCAAGCCCGTCAGCTGGATTTCATACTCCAGTTCAACACGAGTCTAGTCCACGTGAAGGGCGACGATAACGTGGTGGCCGACGCTCTCTCACGCGTCGCCACCATCTCCATGCCTGCCCAACTCAGCGCGAAGATCATCGCCGAAGCACAGGCCGAGGACCAGGAAGCCGAACATGTCTCTACTCCCTCGAGCCTCAACCTGCAGACCCTCTCGATCGACGACTGCTCCGTCCTCTGCGATACGTCCATGGGAGTCGTCCGGCCTTATCTCCCACGGGCTCTTCGACGCACAGCATTCGAGCTTCTCCATAGTCTCGCTCACCCGAGCGTAAAAGCCACGACCCGTCTTGTCGCTTCCAAGTATGTCTGGCCAGGCATGCGTAAGGAAGTTAGCCGTTGGGCGCGCACATGCGAGCCCTGCCAGCGTTCCAAAATCCACCGGCACAACAGGTCCGCCCTAGGCTCCTTTGAGGTCCCCGAGGAGCGCTTCCAGCATCTCCATATCGACATCATCAAGCTGCCTCCGTGTCAGGGTTATACCTACTGCCTGACCATCATCGACCGGTTCACCCGATGGCCAGAAGCCATCCCCCTGCCCGACCAACAGGCATCAACCATCGCCAAGGCTCTCGTCGACAGGTGGGTTAGCCTCTACGGCACGCCACTCACGATAACAACGGACCAGGGCGCCCAGTTCGAGTCCGCCCTGTTCTCGGAGCTCACAAAGCTCCTCGGCGCCAAAAGGGTGCACACCACGCCATACCACCCGCAGTCCAACGGCATGGTGGAACGGACCCACCGCACCATCAAGGCCGCCCTCATGTGCGACCCCGGGACCCCATGGCCAGACCGACTATCGTTGGTCCTTCTGGGGCTCCGAACCGCCTACAAGGAGGACCTGCAAGCCTCTCCGGCCGAGATGCTCTACGGCACTACGCTCAGAGTGCCCGGGGACTTCGTTGGTCCTTCTGGGGCTACGAACCGCCTACAAGGAGGACCTGCAAGCCTCTCCGGCCGAGATGCTCTACGGCACTACGCTCAGATTGCCCTGGGACTTCTTCGCTACGGAGAGCCAGCCCGTCGCAAACCCTGCCACCTTCGTAGAAGGTCTCCGCCGACTCGCCCAGTCCATCAAGGCTGCGCCGGCTTCGAGACACGCAGCGGAGAACGCCCCGTTCTTCTTCAAAGACTTGCGGACGTGCTCCCACGTTTTTAAGAGGGTTGACGCCATCCGCAAGCCCCTCCAGCCTCCGTACACGGGCCCTCACCGGGTCATTCGCCGGGTCGATGACAAGACCTACGTTATCAATGTCAACGGCTCTCATCGCACGGTCTCCACGGACGCCCTGAAGCCGGCTTACGTCGAGGCCACTGACTCTTCTCCCTTAGGGGACCAGCCAACCAACCCTCCCAACGCGCCTCCTGCGGACTCCTCGCCGGCACCAAAGCCCCTCGCGGCGACTCCTGAGACAGCCCCCAAAGACGCCCCTCCAAAGAAGCGGGTTTCATTCAGCCCGTTATCCACGGACCTCTCTGGGGAGGGAGTGGTTGTGGCGCCTTCGACTATCGTCAAGGCACACACAGGCGGTCGACGCAAGCAGCAGCTGAAGCCACGCGAGGTCTTCGCGCTGTCCACGCCGAGCGGCGCTGCCACCGCCTTCTCTAGCCGCCAGGCAGCTACCTAGTGTGGCGCGCATCCAGCCCACACCAGTCCGAGCTCGACCCTCGCATGAGCCGCATTCGCGCACGCTCACGCTCGCAGCCTCCGCTGCCGTCACAGCTCTCGACACTTCGCCGTACCATTTTGCCTTCTATTCTTTGTAAGCTAATAAAGCGCCATTTATTGAGTACACTCGAGTGAGCATCTTTGAGCGCCTACCCTCGCCTTTAACTTCCTCGAGCTCCGGGACACGCTCAGCTGATCCCAACATAAGTAGGTCACTTGTTCCGTTGCTTGGCCGTGACAAGGCGCTCGAATCATAGTATGGAATAATTAGCTAAAATGATATCCCGAAAATTCTGTCTAGCTCGAAAAAAAAAATTGGTAATAGTTTCATTGTATTATAACAAAATGACATAATTTAACAAGTAGAAATGTCACCGAGAGCACCCAAAAAATGGCAAAATTGGCCAAAACATATTTTTCGCATCTAGAAGAAAATTGAAGAATTGTACATAAAAAAGTGTTGCACAAAAAAGATGTGCAATTTTAAGACAACCAATATGAGCTTCGTTGGGTTTAAATTAGTTTAGCCATTTTTTCGCAAATCGCAGAAAAATACCATTTTGAGCCATTTTTTCGAAATAATTCGCATTCCATACAATATTTAGAGCTAAAATTTCAACACAAGCCATATATCATAGCCCTTATCATACACGCTAAATTTCAGATTAATCGGTTCTCAACTTTTTGTGAACCGCAGCAAAAACCGAAAAAAGGTCTTCTCGAAAAATGGTGATAAAAAAGTTGTTAGCCAACATAAGTACATTTTTTAAACATATTTCGCTTCGTCTATATTTACTCTATATTTACTATATAAGTACCTAAAACGCCATTATCACCAAAGTTTGTGTTTATTTTAAGGATTACAATATCTGCCTCGTGACCAAATTTCAGCTCTAAATATTGGATAGAACGCGAGTTATTAAGCATAAAAAAAATTTAATTAAAATATTAGATTTTTGCGACTAACAAAAAAACGGCTGAAGCTATTGATACCCAACGCAGCTCATTTTGTCTTCAAATTGTACATCTTTTAAACGAAACACTTTTTTATGAACGATTCTTCGGTTTTCTTCAATGCGCGAAAAACATGTTTTTGCCATTTTTTTGGGAGCTCTTGCTGACATTTCTACTTGTTAAATTTTGTGTCAATTTGTAATAATACATTAAAACTACTACCATATATTTTTTGAGCTAGTAAGAATTTTCTGGGCCAAAAAACTAAATTTTTCTAGGGCTTCTATGCTGACTCAAAATCAAATCTCTATGGCAAGTACATTATGACAAACATCATGCAGCTAGATATAAAAAATGTTAATCTAAAATCAGCATATAATCCTATAATCCAAATACTTCTATAAGACATCCTGAATTCAGAATTCACGATTTCATTTAACTGACTTTGATCATCAGCACTTGAGTACATTATTTACTATTGTTTACCAGATGCACACAAGCCTTGACAAGGTTCATGTGAACTAAATTACATGAACATGAAAAAAATACGCTTTTAATGAAATATAGTTGAGAAACATAGTTGGTAACTAGATTTTCATTACTACTCAAAGAATTTGCAGTGTCTTTTAAAAAACTTTCAAACTTACTTACCGTAACCTAACATTCAAGTATTAATACTGAAACTGCCAAAATAGTTTAAAAAATTTCTGTCTACTAGCACTAAATTCACGTCAATACGTGGATATAAGTAGAGCTAAATCTTGGTTACGTGGATTTAGAGTTTGGGTATAATAGCCATGTAAATAATACTGATACTATTCCCATACCCATCCAGATGTAATATATACTTCATAATATTCTCATATTCACATGGATCAGATGCGTATACACCTGGCGTTTTAAAATAGGATTCCCAAAAAAGTAATAAACTTAGCAAACACGCATTTTTTACATTAATGTGCATTTCATTATAGACATAATGAAAAAAATTATAAGATGTACTTTTTATTACCTTTTTGAACTTGCTTATATTTGTCAATTTCATCTTGTAAATGTTTTTGTGTGTCAACCATTTCTCAACTATTGATTGCTTAACTAATGCATATAACTAGGAAAGAGTATTTTTAAGCGGTCTAATGTAGTACCTACTTTAATAAAATTCCGAAAATTTAAAAGACTATGAATTCTGAATTTCGTTGAAAAATTATTAAAATTTTTTTTAATTTATTCAAACAATTATATCGCTTCTATTATGTTACATGAAAATCTAATTGGATATTTCCTATCATAAAGGTTTCCCATCAGAAAACGAAACTGCCTAGCTTAACAGACCAAGAGCTGTGGCCCAAAAGTGATCAAAAATCTGTACCAGCCGCCACTCTCATCACAGATAAAAAACTTTGTGATTCGTAGACATTTGTAGTACTTTTATCATATTTCATTCTAGTAAAGAGTAATGTGGTAATTATAGTAGTGCCATGTAGTCTATACTTTATAAATCAGCCACAACTTAGACCATTAACTAAAAGTTGTAAGGTGCCATTTTTGGGTACAAGATGCATTCTAATCTTGTCGCAAATGGCTTTTAAGTTGACAACTTTTTATTTTCTATCCATTGGTGCAAGTTGCGGCTGGTTAATAAAAAAAATCATATGGCATAACTATAATTACCACATAACTCTTTACTACAATGAACTATGACCGAAATATTTCAGATCTCCACAACAAGGTTTTTCAGTTCTGCTAAAACTGGCGGCTGGTTAAAATTTTGACCACCCTTCAGCCTCAGCTCTTATCTCTTAATCTATTATGAAACATTCCAGAAGAAGAAATTTTCCGTGCGCGCAGTGAGCCAGTTTAAGGCGATATTTCAGAAAATCATGAGAACATCTCTTAGACCATGGACATACAAGAAATAAAGACTGCTCGGTCTTGTGTACCCCGCTAAAGCACAAGTAGAAAAAGACACAACATGAAACGTGGTTATCTATCTCTCTCGTACATTGTCAAAGGAGGGAATGTTCGAAGACAGATATCCACGTTCGATGTTGTGTCTCTTTTTACTTCTGCATCAGCGCCGTACTTGAGACTTGAGAACAAGCAGTCTATTTTTCTTATACGTCTATGATGCCCACATATACGTAAGACATCTATAGCCAATTAGCAGTGAGCACAGAGAAAGATAGAAGGGTAGCTTGATGTTGCATTTCTTTTTAACGTGTTAACGCTTCCACCTGTAGGCTTGTCTTGTCTATAGTATCTCTATGGTTATATTTGCTGCACTAATTTCTCTTTTTCTACGTTGGCTGATAGTGATCGTTGGCTCCCAACCTAGATCCGAGCTAGCCCCGCGTTTCATCGATACATAAGACGCTACAAAAGCAAAGCTTGTGCTAATGTAGGTTACCCCGGCTGCCAAGGTAGGCCTGAGCTGAGCTTGAGCTATCGCCGAGCTTATATTTTCGATCGAGGGGATGGTCAGGTAGAAGAACGGTTGTAGAAAAGGTAACTTTTCTACGCGTAGAAAATACGTGAAATACTGTAGAGTATTTCAAGACTCTTCTACAGTCTTCAAGATAGAGTTTTCGACACTGCCATAACCTTAATTTAAAGTAAATGTAAGTAAATTCAGTAAGTGGCTATCATACTTGCGGGAAATTCAAATTGGTCATATGGAGCAAGTCGCAAAATCCCAGATAACTCGACAAAATTTCATACACCATAACTTAATACATTAGTCCCAAGCTATTTAACCCAATTAACCAACCCACCTATCAGCAGTCTCACGAGCTTTAATAATTAATAAAATACATTAAATAACGCAAGCGCCAATCACCACATAACGCGGGGCGCTTACTGGTCACTTCGTTAATTAATAAAATAAATCAAATAACGGAAGCGCCAATCACTGCATAACCCAGGGCACTAACTGATCATTTTGAAAATTAATCAAATTTGTTAGGCAATAACGCGAGTGCTCATCACCAGCCTATCCAGGGCACTCACTGGTCACTACTGGTTGCGCTTGATTGGCACTTGATTCATTATTTGATGCTTTTTAATCATAAATAATGCGACCACTTAACACTCCGGGTTGTCTGATGCTTAGCGCTTGTGTTATTTTCTTTAGTTTATTAATAAATTAAGCGACCAGTAAGCTCTCCTGGTTGTGCGGTGATTGGCAATTGCGTTATTTTATTTACTTTATTGATAAATAAAGCAACCAATTAGCGCCCCGGGTTGTGTGGGGATTGGCCCTTGCGTTTTTTATTAATTACGCAAAACAACCAGAAAGAGCCCGGGGTTGTGCGCCGTGTGTTACCTGNTTTTGCCTTCTATTCTTTGTATGCTAATAAAGCGCCATTTATTGAGTACACTCGAGTGAGCATCTTTGAGCGCCTACCCTCGCCTTTAACTTCCTCGAGCTCCGGGACACGCTCAGCTGATCCCAACAGTGGTGACCCCGCCTGAAAAAGTTTCAAGGTGAGCTAAACAATTGTGTGTTTTTTTTTTTCGCCATCTTTCTATCTTTCTTTTTTTTCGGCGAGCAAGGCGACTCATCTCGCTCGCGCGGCACGCCTTGCAGTGTGCGTGCTTTGTCCGGCCCGCCGCCATTTTGAGCAAAAGCCCGCGCGCTCGCTCGCGTTCGTGGAACTCGGCCATTGTCAACTCGGGCGACGCTACGAGCCACGCGCCAACGTGCCCGCACTCTCTCTCTCTCGCTTTCGTAGACCGTTTTAAAAAAGACAAGGACAAAGACAGAGAGTGAGAGGTTGTGTGACAGTGCTGTGCAGTGCAGTTTTTTTTACACTCGTCTCGCCGTCGGCACTCGCCATGGCCAACAACGACATTGGTGTAATTCCCCCCAACGACAATGGTGTAATTCCCCCCGGCGAAAATCCTACTGGAGGCGCGAGCCCCACGGGTGACGACATTAACCCCGTGATGTCGGTCGCACCCCTTCGCCTCCCGCCTTTCTGGAAGGTCAACTCGACCGTGTGGTTTATCCGGATCGAGGCGGCTTTCAACAACCACAGGATCCGCGCGGACTCAAGCAAATTCGACTACGTCGTCGCTGCCTTGGATGACGCCACGGTGCAGGAAATCGCCGACGTCCTCATGGCACCTCCAGCTGAGGGCAAGTACGATTTCCTTAAGGCCGAAATTCTTAAGCGCATGACAGACACGGCCGATCAGCGTCTCCGCAAGCTGCTCACGCAGCTCGAGCTGGGCGACCAGAAGCCGTCACAGCTCCTGCGTCGCATGAAAGCTCTCGCGGGCACCGCGGTCACCGACGATGCCATCAGGGTCCGGTGGTTCGACCTCCTGCCGCCGTCCGTGGCACGCTCCCTCCGGGTCGTCAAATCAACCCCGCTGGATGAGCTGGCGTCTCTGGCCGACGAGCTGATCCAGGACTACCCGCACGTCGCCGCGGTTCACCCTCAAGCGACCAAGCCCCAGACGGCTGGTCAGTCTTCTGCGCCGACCGTGGAGTCCCTGGCCAAGGAGATGGCGTCGCTGCGTCAGTCCGTCGCGCAGCTCCTCAACATCGCTAAGCGACAACCGGAAGGCCAGCAACGTGGCCGTTCAACCACGCAGTCGCAAGGCGGCCCCCGAAGCAGGTCAAACACGCCAAACCGAGACCCCAACGACCCGTGGTGCTGGTACCATCGCACCCTGGGGAACAACGCTCGCAACTGCAGGCCACCCTGCAACTTCACCCCGTCGAACCAGGGAAACGAGTAG